CTTGCAAACAGTGGAACGTTTGAACTGTATGGGATGTTATGTTAATCAAAGACTACCTCAGGCAGGCAGAAGTAGCTCGGGTTTCTTCCAAACACACTCTCACTCGCCGCTCCCACTCGGTGCTCGGTGCTAAGACGCTGGTATAAATTTTTTACTCAAAGGCTAAATATACAACCTTTGGATAACATGATTCATACCAGTAAATATGGATTGCAAGGGCCACATGTAAAGTTATATATTCGTTAGGGTTATCGCCCAAACACCCTGAAAACCTGTCCGTATCGATGAAGAAGTCATAGTTCATTCCATTCCTCATATTAATAATAGCACATACTTGTTCCCTCTGCATTTTCTATGTAGATTGGAACCACAGTACCATAAAAAAAGAGAGAGAGAGTTTATTTTAAGTGCATAAGCTTTTTCTAATTTTTACGATAAAATATAATAAAAGCAAGCCGCTTGTCGATATCACCACATCACAGAGCTGTGACAACATCGTCGTCTCTCTTACAACTTTTTACCATTACGTACTAGCAGAATTGCAGAGCTCGTCATGCTAACGTTAAAGTATATTTTTATAATCCCTATATTGTGAAATGAGAGAAAAACATCCATAGTATCGTTCTCGACGGGTGCACGAAACCTTTCGAAGCACCTCAACCAACAAAAAACCTCCGCAGCAACTTGCAGTAGTTTTTCTTCGAAAAAATTTTCTTCCTCTAAGACACCTGTTCAGCTCTTTGGAAAGCAGCTATACATTAATTACTGGAAAAAACCGAACAAGAGTGGAAATTGATGGGTACAAGTTTTTCCTATCGCAAAATTGTTCACCAAGGACCAAAAAATCAAAGTAGTTGGGGAAGAACGAATGTCGGCATAGTCTTCTAATAGGACCATAAAATTCGCAGGAAAGGGCAGCAGAATGAAAATTTGACCTTCAAAAGGGGAATTGCCAGGAAAAATCTGAACATAAATTTGATGGCACAAAATTTACATTTATGGACTTAGGTGAATGGTAAGCAGAGCCGCTGCAGCGCATACCATAGCTACCATCGGAGTTCGGATCAGGTCTAAGGCCGTCAACCACTTCAACTTCAATAAACTTCAATGGAATTTGTTTGATGTGAGGAAAAACTTGATTTTTACGGTGGTCAGCTTTCTTCAACTATTGTAGAAACTAATTATCCATTCAAATCAAACTTTTACATCAATAGACATTTTATGCATGGCATATCTTAACGGTGCAATTAGTTTTACCCTTTGTTGCTTTGAAGGACGGTCAGAAAACGAAATATTGTTTTTTCATAACGCTTATGAAGGACTTTGAACGACCTAAGGAATTGGTCCAAAATAAATTCAATGCCCTTCCACGATCATATACTTCCACTAACCCCACTATCCCTCATCACCAGATATTGGCTATATTGGCTTTTCCCATCACCGAGCTGTCAAGGTAGAGTTAGTGCCAGCGAAGACATCATTCCAAAACGTTCGAAATTCCACTTGAATAGAGTATGTTCACTATAAGAAATTCGAAGATCCCAACGGTACAGTGTATTATGGGCTTTATTTTTCGCCATTGCTGCGAGAAGGTTGTAAAGCGCCCCCAGAAGTTTTTGAGCTTAGCAAGAAGAAAGTGGTTTTCTAATGCGGTCTTCTTTCTTCAAGTGCTTCTCGGCAGTTGTTTCTAGGATACTACTGGAACCATATGAACTTCCGCAAAACGTCGATGGATGGCTATCGTAAAGAAAAAAGGAAAAATAGATGTGGATTACGTAAGCACCGCTTACTACTGCGCCGTAAGCTGTCTACATTACATTAACGTGCATTTCATCCAAATTTCTACATTTCGACATTCCTTACTCTTATGTTTACTTATTATTTACTTTTACGCCTATTTATTCTCTCTCATATTTATATTCATTTGAATACCCTTCAAAAAGCTGTATAGAACCTTGTTGAAATTTCTCAAGAGGCCGTGCGCCCGTTTTATGGGAAGAATCACCAGTGTGATTGTAGGGATCAAAACATCCCCAGACGGGATCGCGCTTGATTGAAACCAGATTTTCATTTCTCAACCAAAGTATCCAAAATCAAGTAGACAGAAAGCCACTCTGTTGCCGGCAAGAACGGACCTAAGGTCATTTAAAAGTGCGAATTAGGTACGAACCACAGGCTAATGCACTATAAACAACTGCTTTGACCTCTTCTGACTATCTTCAGATCAGAAGCAATTTTACGTTCCCAAAAAGAACTCCTTCAAAGTTTAGGAGACACAACTTTTCACTCCCAAAGCAATCAATTGACTTGAGCCGACTCACATCGCTAACACGTGTATGGAATTCCTCACTCTGCCTGGCCATGCCGGTTTGCCTTTCCACACGATTTGCGTACTGTCTAGCCAAAGCACGAACTTGTTCCCGAGCCTGAATTTTCGCAAAAAGTTTTTTTTTCGCGAAATCGTTGATTTAATTATTCAACGAATATTTAGGTTTTGCATACCTTCTCAAGTGTGATCGAATGAGCTGGTACTGCCGCCATCAAACGGGATGCTAATTCCGCTAGTTCGTCAGCTTGGGACACGATTTCCTATAAGGAAACAAAAATGCCTTTATAATTAATAAATTTTATTTCCCTTGGTACAAATTTGCTGCACCAGTCGGATTTTCGAAATACCAACACACGATGAAAGGCAGTTCATAGCAAACGAAATTAGAGATTGAGTGCGATAATATGAGCTCAAAAAATCTCAAAATAGGTAAAAGTCCCAGCAGATAAATGCCATTAGCCATTTACGAAGTAATATACTTTGCCAAATTTAATGAGAGCGAATTAATTTGGGACTTGAGAGGAGAAATGGTACCCTGAAACCTTTCAAAGACCTTCAAAGATAAGGAAAGGGCCTTGAAAGAAACAGAATAGGACAGAACATTCTTGGGACCCAAACTTATTTGCAAGCTCATAATGTGGCTTTATTTTCTACTAAATGAGCAATGTCAAGAGATTTCAGTTGAGATCGGGTGATGCTGGTCAGTAGCTTGAAGCAGGCGGTCACTGAGCTGAACCGCGTGGAATGGAACGTAGCGTGGAAGTGCAAAGGGTTGTAATGAAAAGCCGACGTAGAGTGTGAGCTCCCACAGCTGGAATGCATCAGAGACAGGTGGAGTAAGATCCGATAAGAGCGAGATCGATTGCAGCTTTCTGTATCCAAAAGAAATGGGTTGTAATGCCCGATTGTGAGGATATCCTCTTGAATGGTGTATAGATGGGTAATCTACTCCAAACAAGCGAATGCTATAAAGTCGTGGGTAGACAACCAGAGAATAGCATGCGAGGAGTTGAAATTCGATATCTTCTCGTTGGTCCGTTCG